AAAACAAAATGTCCATTTCTCAGACTAACAATGATTAGTCAGGTGTGACTAATAATGGAGCAAGTCGATGAATCCATGCTGTGAGGGCACCGCTCGTTTTGTTTCCAGTCCCTGTATTGTGGTTAAATGTATGTGTCAGCTTGACTGGACTCAGAGGTGCCCAGGCAGCTGATATGTGTCTTGTGTGTGTACACACACGTATATTATATATAAGCTTTAGTTCAGCTCAGTTCAGTCACTCAGTCATGTTTGACTCTTTGCGACCCCGTGAACTGCAGCAAGCCAGGCTTCCCTGTCCATCACCAACTCCTGAAGCTTACTCAAACTCGTGTCCATCGAGTTGGTGATACCATCCAGCCATCTCATTCTGTGTCGTTCCCTTCTTCTCCTGCCCTCAATCCCTCCCAGCATCAGGATCTTTTCAAACGAGTTAGCTCTTCGCATTAGGTGGCCAAAGTATTGGAGTTTCAGCTTCAACATCAGCCCTTCCAATGAATATTCGGGACTGATGTCCTTTAGGATGGACTGGTTGGATCTTGCAGTCCAAGGGACTCTCAAGAGTCTTTTCCAAGACCACAGTTCAAAAGCATCAATTCTTTGGCACTCAGCTTTCTTTATATAAGCTTACATGTGTAATTATGCTTGAGCAGTTCTTGAAGTCTTGAAGTGAAGTGAAAGTCACTCAATCATGTCTGACTCTTTGCGACCCCATGGACTATACAGTCCATGGAATTCACCAGGCCAGAATACTGGAGTGGGTAGCCATTCCCCTCTCCAGGGGATCTTCCCAACCCAGTAATCAAACCCGGGTCTCCTGCATTGCGGGAATATTCTTCACCACCTGAGCCACAGGGGAAGCCCAAGAACACTGGAGTGGGTAGCCTATCCCTTTTCCAGTGGATCTTCCTGACCCAGGAATTGAACCAGGGTCTCTTGCATTGCAGGTGGATTATTTACCAACTGAGCTATCAGAGAAGCCCTTGATGTCTTAAGATAGGTTGAATTAACAGGTGGCTTAGAGTCCCAGTCTGATGGGCTTCTGTCTATGGGGTTGCACAGAGTCGGACACAACTGAAGTAACTTAGCAGCAGCAGCAGCAGTAGAGTCCCATGGTACTGATTTCTGTCATTTTACTGTTTTTTTTTTCTCAATGGGAACTTAGTTATGAGGACTTCCCTGTGAACAGTTGGGGGAGGGGTGCTCAGGCTTGTTTTATTGATGATTATTCACACTGTCCTGACAGCAGCCACCGGCAAGTCAACGGAGGCTGTAAGACTAGCATTCCACTGATAAGAAGCAGCAGTGTGGTGAGTAGAAATCTACTTATTGCACAGATGGTGGTGGTGCAGTCATTAAGTCGTGTCTGACTGTTTTGTGACCCTTGAACTGTGGTCCACCAGGCTCTCTGTCCTTGGAATTCCAGGCAAGAGTGGGTTACCAGTTCCTACTCCAGGGGATCTTCCTGACCCAGGGATCGAACCCAGGTCTCCTGCATTGTGGACAGTCTCCTGCGTTGCAGGCGGATTCTTTACTGACAGTCACCATAAATCTAGTTTTTCCCTTTTCCCAGACAGAAACATGTCCAGAGATAGGAATCTTGTTTTAATCATCGAATATACTGGGTGGTTTAGCTAAACAGTCAGTAACTTAGGAAGACAGAATTGGAGAACTGGTGAAAAAACATGGCCAAGAGGTACATGGTGTGTATTAAAGCAGGAATGGTGTGCCATGTAAATAGTCAAGAAGGACACCCACTTCAGTGAGGTATTCTGTAACCAGAGTTTTCATCCCACCCATTCTGCGGAGGTTGGCCCTCAGCTTCCCCAGCCACGAGAGCATTTGCTCATGGCCTTCAGGTGCAAACTGCTCACACCTGTGAAGGTGTGGTGTCTACACTGCTGCAACAACATAGACTCCACAAAAAGACCAAGCAGACCACTGCCATGGTCAAGTGCCTGACAAGAAAGAGCAGAGCCCAAGGGTGTGGCACCATGGCTTGGGGATGTCACCTAGCCACCTGGTGGCAGGTTAATCCCATTGGATGTATTCAGTGAAGAGGTAATCCTTTTTCATCTCTGGAATAGAGGGCTTTTTTACATTATAGCTATGTTCTACCCTTTGCAGTGCTGCTCCCTTGTATTAGTAGAATGCCCTTCCACCATCATGGTACACACACAATGCTCCCCAGCCTGGAGTTCACTTTGGAGAAGAGGAGCTGGACAATGATCTTACACCCATGGGATTCATTTATCTTGTTCAGTATTCATAACTCAGGAGTGGCTGGCTTTAGAGAATGAGGGTGAGCTCCTGAAAATTCACTTGTGGGGCCAGCTGGCTAGTAACACACAGGAAAGGTGGTGCACAGTTCTGTGGGCTCTGACATACACTCTGAACTGGAAACCATATGGTCACTTTTCCCCACAGTCAAACTATGAAGCTCCAGTTATCAGGAAGTCAAAACGAGAGAGTGGCTCGTCCTACTGTGAAACCTAAGAATCTATTTGCATGCTGACCTTCAGAGTTACAAAGTTGGCTCTGTTTACTTGGAAGTTTTTCTTTTCAAAGAAGAAGTACATAGGCAAAGAGGCACAATGATGGTTTTCACTGCATTTTATGCTGAGATGACCACCTGATATGCCATGCTTCTCTGGCATTAAAGCAATAGGCAAAAAGGCACTACAGTCACTTTCCTTTATCTACAGGGCATGCGTTCCAAGACACCTAGACAATGCCAGAAACCACTGGTAGGGCTGAAATCTAGTATATCTGTGTTCTCCTGGCAAACATCTATGATCAGCTCAATGTGAAAATGAATCACAGTAATAGATTAACAATAATAATAAAGCAGAACAATTATAACAACATATTATAATGAAATTTATGTTAATGTGGCCTCCCTCTCTCAAAATAACTTATTGTACAAACTTATTTTCCATCTTAACTAAACACTTATCATGTACTGTAGCTGTAACTTTTGCAGTTTTAGGTGTGACAGCAAAAGTAGCATGAATTTCTTTTTCCTATGGATAGTAAACTTGTTTTCACTGCTCAGCTTATTTCAGTTGCTCAGTCGACTCTTTGTTCGGCTCTTTGTGACCCCATGGACCACAGCACACCAGGACTCCCTGTCCATCACCAACTCCTGGAGCTTACTCAAACTCATGTCCACCAAGTTGGTGATGCTATCCAACCATCTCATCCTCTGTCATCCCCTTCTCCTCCTACCTTCAATCTTTCCCAGCATCAGGGTCTTTTCAAATGAGTCAGTTCTTCCCATCAGGTGGCCAAAGTATTGGAGTTTCAGCTTCAGCATTAGTCCTTCCAATGAATATTCAGGATAGATTTCCTTTAGGATGGATTGGTTGGATCTCCTTGCAGTCCGAGGGTCTCCCAGGAGCCTTCTCCAACACCACAGTACAAAAGGTCCAATTCTTTGGCCCTCAGCTTTCTTTATAGTCCAACTCTCACATCTATTCATGACTACTGGAGAAACCACAACTTTGACTAGATGGACATTTGTTGGCAAAGTAATGTCTCTGCTTTCTAACATGCTGTCTAGGTTGATCATAACTTTTCTTCCAAGGAGCATGCATCTTTTAATTTCATGGCTGCAGTCACCATCTGCAGTGATTTTGGAGCCCCCCAAAATAAAGTCTGTCACTGTTTCCATTGTTCCCCCATTCTATTTGCCATGAAGTGATGGGACCAGATGCCATGGTCTCAGTTTTCTGAATGTTGAGTTTTAAGCCAACTTTTTCACTCTCTTCTTTCACTTTCCTCAAGAGACTCTTTAGTTCTTTGCTTTCTGCCATAAGAGTGGTGTCATTTGCATAGCTGAGGTTATTGATGTTTCTCCCAGCAATCTTGATTCCAGCTTATGCTTTATCCAGTCCAGCGGTTCTCATGATGTACTCTTCATATAAGTAAATAAACAGGGTGACAATATACAGCCTTGACATACTCCTTTCCCAACTTGGAACCAGTCTGTTGTTCCATGTCCAGTTTAACTGTTGCTTCTTGACCCTCATACCTATTTCTCAGAAGGCTGGTCAGGTGTCCTGGTATTCCCATCTCTTTAAGAATTTTCCACAATTTGTTGTGATCCACATAGTCAAAGGCTTTGGCACAGTCAAAAAAGCAGAAGTAGATGTTTTTCTGGAACTCTCTTGCTTTTTCGATGATCCAGCGGATGTTGGCAATTTGATCTCTGGTTCCTCTGCCTTTTCTAAATCCAGTTCGAACATCTGGAATTTCAATTGTTACTTCATTTTGTACTCCACGGTAAATTTGGCTGTTACTCCAGGTATCTCTTGACTTCTACTTCTGCATTCCAGTCCCCTATAATGAAGAGGATATCTTTTTTGGGTGTTAGTTCTAGAAGGTCTTTTAGTTCTTCATAGAACCGTTCAACTTCAGCTTCTTCTGAATTACTGGTTGGGGCATAGACTTGGACTACTGTGATACGGAATGGTTTGCCTTGGAAACAAACAAATCATTCTGTCATTTTTGAGACTGCATCCAAGTACTGCATTTAGAACTCTTTTGTTTAATATAATGGCTACGCCATTTTTTCTAAGGGATTCTTGCCCACAGTCATAGATACAATGGTCATCTGAGTTAAATTCACCCATTCCAGTCCGTTTTAGTTTGCTGATTCCTAAAATGTCGATGTTTACTCTTGCCATCTTCTGTTTGACCACTTCCAATTTACCTTGATTCATGGACTTAACGTTCCAGGTTCCTATGCAATATTGTTCTTCATAGCAATGGACTCTACTTCCGTCACCAGTCACATCCTCAACTGGGTGTTGTTTCTGCTTTGGGTCTGCCTCTTCATTTTTTCTGGAAGAACTTCAGAAATCTCTGAAAGAAGTTTTCGCGGTAGACCCTAGACGTTTCAGCACGCCGTTTCCTCCTTCCCTCACTAGTAATTAACAAAGCGTCCTCATTTCCCCTTTAGATGGGCGCCCAGGGCCTCTCTGCCGCTCTAACGCCGGCACCTCCCCGGCCCTTCACTGAGGCCCCGCCCTCAGGCCCGCCCGCCGCGCGGTGCCTGATGGCTGGGCCTGCCTGATGCTGCGACCCCGCGGGCTTCAGCCGCCAGTCTCCGTCCCCGGGCGTTCTGCAGGCAAGAGTGCTGGCGTGCGTTACTGTTCCCTTCTCGAGGGCCCTTCCCAGTCCAGGGATCACACCCGGGCCTCCCATACTGCAGGTGGATTCTTTACCAGCTCAGCCACCAGGGAAGCCCAGGAAAACTGGAGTAGGTTGTCTATCCCTTCTCCAGGGGAACTTCCCAACCCAGAAACGGAATCAGGCTCTCCTGCATTGCAGGCAGATTCTTTACCAGCTGAGCTACTGGGGAAGCTCAAATATCGGTTACGTGGGATCAAACCCAAATATACATGTTTACCTTAAAAAAATATATTCTTAAGGGATGGGATGGGGAGGGAGGCGGGAGGGGGGATTGGGATGGGGAACACATGTAAATCCATGGCTGATTCATGTCGATGTATGCAAAAACCACTACAATATTGTAAACTAATTAGCCTCCAACTAATAACAATAAATGGAAAAAAAAGGCTGTTTTTTTCTGTAAATAAATGCCAACATTTTACTACAACACCTGTATATAAAGCTATACCTAAGTGTGTAGTGATGTGTATGCAGTTCACCAGGAAGGCACAAAACCTGGTAGAAATGTTCAAACTCAGATGATTTTGTGGAAAATATTACCAAATACTCAACCAAGGAGAAGTAACAGTAATTTAAAACATTTTTTTCTAGAATAGTAGAGGGATGGATGGATAAGTCTCAACTCATCTTAAGAGGCCAGCATTACCCTGAAACTATAATTAAAGACCATTAAAAAAAACAAAGCTAAAAAAACAAAAACAGAAGAAAGAAAGAAAGAGAGGAAGAAACTACAGACCAATAGCTCTCATAACATTGGTTGAGATAATCCTCAGCAAACACAACTAAATCTTATCAGACTGAGTTGTGAGGCATTTACTCCAGCTGTGTAGGCTGCTTCCATATTTAAGAATCAATCAATGCAATTCACCATATCAACCATCTAAAAAAGTCACACCATTGTAGTATTTGAAGTAGAAAGGTATTTGACAAAGTTCATCACTCATGCATGACAAAAATGCCCTAGGCAATTAGAGAGGACGTCTCAATTTGATAAAGAGAAAAACAAAAACCTACAACTAACATGATACTGTATGTGAAAGCCTGACTAACTTACACCTACAATTAAATGTCCCCTCTCACACTTTCTGTACCCCAGACACATCCCCCACAGGAGTGCCTGCATACCAGGAGGAATTCACACAGGCTCCTGGCTTGTTCCAACATCCATCTCCTGCCCTGGGTCCTGCCCTACAGTCATGCTAGACGTTAATGCTGTAGGAACTGGGGAAAGCACACACAGCCCTGTGTATTTCTTTGCAACTTCTGGGAATCTACAATTATTTGTAATTGTACAAATACAATTTACAATTTGTAATTAAACAAAAATTTTTTTTAAAAAGGCAAAAGAAAAAACATGAAGGAAAGAGAAAAAAAATGTAAGGTGTTTTGCAATAACAGTAAAGAAAAATAACAAATACTTGAGAAAGGCCCCTTAATCGCCTTATTGACCTCATTCATTTGCATGTTTCTCAGTGCACTGCTGTAAATTTCCAAGATCCAAGATGCGTCACTTCACATGGTGTGGGTGGCAGGGTTGGGGGCGGGAGAGTAAGAACTGGAGTTACAGGACAGAGACTTCTCTCCATCGCAGAATTCTGTAGTCATCCCACCTTGGGAGACAGTGAGAACCCGGGAAAAGGCTTCTGTCAATCCTGAACTTTTCCTCTGCCAGGCTTCCTTCGTGTTCCCACCAATGTCTGGTTGCTTGTCTACGTGGAAAACACTATCTCTCCTCTCCTGATCGCCCCCCGTTCCCCCCAGCAAGAGGCAGCACCAGGACACTTGCTCCGAGGATTTGAGCTCCTCATCCCTGAGGAGCAACATGTCCCCCAAGAAGCAAGGACACACTTGTTGCAAGAAGCATCTTGTATGCTTGCAGAAACTCAACCAACACAGCCCCACATTACATGCCAGACTGGATATAATCCAGGTATTTGGAGTCTGGTGCAAGTAGAGGACAGAGAAGCTGCCTCAAATAACTTCACACAAAAAGTCACATTTCTCTGTGTAATGGCGTCTGGTAAATTACACCCGACTGCATATATCAGCCACGGGAGACAGTGCTCAGAAACTAATCATTGTGTCTGGTTTTCATTCTGTGAGAATTGCATGAGGTTAATGGAACTCCCAGATGGCCTGTGGTACTGATGGTTCCAGGGTTCTATTTCCTACATCCGCTGCAGGTAGAATTAGGCTGAGCAATGACACTCTTGTTCACACGATTCCCAGCCACAATGTTTTCCAGAGAGATAGCGTGGAGAGAACACTTAATGGTAATTTAGGAGATGCGAGGAAGAGTTATGTAGTTAATTACGGTCAGCTCCAATGGCAGAAAAATGCTGACAACTTCAATTGTAGCATACCTAATAATGTTATTTGGAAAAATTGTCTATACCACAGATGTTATAATTCTTACATCTTTATGTGGAAGACTGGCTCTGATTTTACATATGCATAAATTGATTTTCCCCAGTTGAATATATTACTGCAGAATAATAAATTTTCCTGAATTGTAATTGAGATATTTTGTGGACCTCAAAATCTAAGCAAAGAAACCAGTTACACATATAAATGGGCAGATATAAAAGAGATTGCATTTCATTTGTAATCTCAGGATGTGAACTCGTTTTATTTAGAAATAAAACTCCTAGAGCCAAGTTTTGGAGGCAGTTGGCAGTAAGTGGGCCAAGACTTGGATTATCATTTGTGATTTTTGGGTCTCATTTGAAAAACTACTTTCTTTCTTTCTCTTTCTCTCTTTTTCTTTTTTTTTTTTTGGCCAGGCCTCGTGGCATGGGGGAATCTTAGTTCCCCCACCAGGAATCAAAGCCATACCCTCACTAGTGGAAGTGAGGCGTCATAACCACTGGGCAACGGGGAGGCCCACAGCTCCCTACACTTATTTATAACATGGAACTTATTCTGGGAATTGCTGCAGGAAATACCGAGATTTCCAACTCTTCCTCTCTCTGTGGCTAGCACGGCCCAGACCCTAGAATAACACTATCTGCATCAACATTGATTGTGTAGAGTTGTCCCCTCTTATCCTCAGGGTCTTCGATCCAAGACCCCTGGTGGATGCCTGAAAGCAAAGGTCCTAAGTACACTGTATTTCTTCCATCCAAACATCGCCTGTGATCAAGTTTAACTTATAAATTACACACAGTAAGAAAACATTCAAATTCCTGGCACCACTCCTCTTGCATTTTGGGGCGAGTGTGAGGTAAAAGAAGGGCCATGTGAGCAGAAGCACTGACGCCAGGGCCGTCTGACTGTCTGACCCTTGGATGGCGGCTAAGTGCCTGACGGGCAGGATGTACTGGACATGAGACAGTGGAGCAATATTTCATCACGATGCTCAAATGGTGCACAATTTGAAACTTATCAATTGCTTACTTCTGGAACTTTCCATTTGCCATTTTCTAACAGAGGTTGACCTCAGGTAACTGAAACCGTGGATAAGGAGATTGCAGTACTAGGAATATTTATAAATCCAGTGGCCTCTCCAGCATCATCACTTTTCCAATGTCTCGAAAGTTATTCAGTGCATACTAGGAGTGAATTTAACTTCTATGCAGAGTACATCATGCGAAATGCTGGGCTGGATGAATCATAAACTGGAAAGATTGCCAGGAGAAATATCAACAATCACAGATATGCAGATGATACCACTCTCATGGCAGAAGGTGAATAGGATCTAAACAGTCTCTTGATGAAGGTGAAAAGAGGAGAGTGAAAAGCGGGCTTAAAGCTCAACATCAAAAAACTAAGATTATGGTATCCATCCTATCACTTCATGATAAATAGATGGGGGGAAAGTGGAAGCAGTGATAGATTTTCTTTACTTGGGGCTCCAAAATCACTGTGGATGGTGATGGCAGCCATGAAATTAAAAGAAATTTGCTCTTTGGAAAGAAAGTTATGACAAAACTAGACAGTATATTAAAAAGCAAAGACATCACTTTACTGACCACTGCTGCTGCTGCTAAGTCACTTCAGTCATGTCCGACAAAGGTCCATAAAGTCAAAGCTATGGTTTTTCCAGTAGTCATGTATGGATGTGAGAGTTGGATCATAAAGAAGGCTGAATGCAGAAGAATCTATGCTTTCGAATTGTGCTGGAGAAGACTCTTGAGAGTCTATTGGACTGCAAGGAGATCAAATGAGTCAATCCTAAATGAAATCAGTCCTGGCTATTCATTGGAAGGACTGATGCTAAAGCTGAAGTTCCAATACTTTGGATACCTGATGGAAGAACTGACTCATTGGAAAAGACCCAGATGGTGGAAAAGACTGATGGCAAAAGGAGAAGAGGGAGGGAGAGGACGAGATGGTTAGATGGCATCATCGACTCAATGGACATGAATCTGAGCAAATTCTGGAACAGGGAAGCCTGGCTTGCTGCAGTCCATGGGGTTGCAAAGAGTTGGACAAAACTTAGTGACTGAACAACAACAAAGAGGTGAATTTGTTCAACTGAGTTTAAGTTGTATTTGCAATAGAAGAATTGCTGTTTTAAGAGGACACTAAATTACCTCAAAACTAAATAGTGCTCAGAGAAGCCAGGGATTACAACATGATTGGAGAGAGTGAGAGAGAGAGAGATACTGATACTGGTTCTGTTTAAATGCAATGGACCTCGTTGACCCAGAAAGATCCAGTTTCTCCATGTTTATAATCCCCTTTTCTGCTCTGGTCAGAAGTTATTGTTATTATAATGTAAGTGCACTGAGACTTATGCAGGGAAATGTTTTGATTTGGAAGTAATACAGCTTCAAATAAAAGCAAGCATTCTATAAGTATCTTTTTAGATAAAGCTAATAAGCTAATATAAATGATCTCTTCTATTTATTAGAAGAGCTACCAACGTACCAAGTACATGTAGGAATAAAAGAATACAGTGAGCTGAGTTATAAAATTAGCATAACT